TGATCCAGGAAGACTATGGCTTTATCAACTAGGAAAAAATGCATTGAACTTATGTGGGAAGAAAAGGTACTCCATATAGGTCAATGCAATTAGATTGGGAGATAAGTTTTAAGTGGATTTAACTTAAAAGTTTCTAGGGTGACAGACGAAAACACGTACTGAGTTAAACCAAACATAGTTACACACTCGGAAGAGGGTAACCTAGATTTATGCTCCTATTGTCACTAATCACATTAGATTCTCAGTATCCTATCCTACATATCCACATATGCACTCACAAGATTGGTACCTTTCATATGTTGATATCTACCAACCTTATTAGAATAGTTAGAATATTTAAAATTACCCTTTTTAATTTAGCACGACAATTCAGTAGTTGTTAGAAAGACCACTTTAAATTACATTCCAAACTAAGACCCTTACCGTAGTAGATTAGAACTCATATGATTATAAGCATTATCACCTTCCCCATGGGATCGATATATGGACTCAATTAGAGGTTTGTATTACTGAAATGATGCATATACTTGTGTGTGAACCCCTAGTGTGTAAGAATATTTAACTTTAAGGACTTAATTAATCTACCAAGGAGTGGATCAAGTATTTGGTGAGAATATTAGGACTCAAATCATGGTGACATAGGCACATTGTGGATGGATCAAAGTGCTTGCAACTGTTAGACAGCTACTAGATCTCTCTTATGAAAAGGAAGAATTCCCTTATTGAAGCAACTAGAAAGTAAGATGAATTTGCAAAGAGAATAACCTATTTGATAACAACTGATTTTTTAATAGAGTCAAAGAGACGAGACCACCTTTATAGACAACTTCTTATTTCAATGAGAATAGCATATATGAGAAGAGAAAGGACCAAGGACTTTATTGGACTAACATGATTGAAAGACCGACCAGACCACTTTCTATAAAGAATCCACCTTATTTTGCTTAGGATAGAATGAAGACAAGGAACTAGCTTGCTCGAAAAGAATGGATTGCTTTCAAGAGCTAATGGTACTAGACTGATAGCGGTGGGAGGGTGAGCACGAGCAATC